TCAAAACGCTATGTTCCTCACCAAATCAATGAGAAGGGTTTTAAATATAATTAAAGGGCTAGTAGGATTGTAAAATGTTTTGATGTGGTTGATAATTAAATTAATTATTTAATAATCAAAAATAACTACTAATACAACGTGTCACCAACACGCCTCATATGCGCTTAGAATGTGTGACTGTTGTGGACGAGCTCTTCCTGGAACAACTGCACGCGCTGAATGAATCTGCTACCATTAAACTGGAGCACTTTGCTAGCACGTTGTTTATCTACAAGAAACGCATCCTATATGAGATTAATCATATATATTCAAAATAAACATAATATTACAAATTATATCTGCCCAAAATGACGCATGCACAAGTGAACTTTAAGTTATGTGCCATTCATTCAGAACTACTCATGTTGTGGACGCGCTCTTCCTGGAGCAACGCGACACGGCAGTAAACCCAAATAATTCACAATGTTTTATTACAATATTGTTCTCTTTATAATGTTATGTAATATTACAGTCCCAATAGTCATTATTAGTCGTGCACTGCCGTTTGAGCTGCACGTGCTGAAGCTGACGCTTTACTATAGAGTTAATTCTTAACCAAATGCATCCAATATGAGATAAATCAGATATAGATAGGCATCCACAAAATAAACAATATTACAACTTACATTTGCACAAAACAAAAGGCTGCGAATGCACACACAAACTAATAGTCTTGATGAAAGTGTAAAATGGTCCCAAACATAACTCCGGCACGCTTTCGCGGTTGAGCAGCACGCACGCGCATGAACCTGCTTAATCAATGATCGATAAGTTGTATCGATTAAATGTATTATCGGCAATTGTATTATCGTTGACATCCCTAGTGATGGATGATTAAGGGAATTTGGCCTTTGTGTTTCTTCATATTTAAACTCCTCTGAAACAAGAAAACATATCTATACAATTACATGTTCCTAGTCACCCTTGTTTGCTAAAAAAAAAGGTTAAACTTGTGCCTTTTGGGCATCCGGAAACAAAAAGTGTCCTTGTCCGTGGCCAAAATGTTATTTAGAGTGGCACTGGCAAAGTATGCATTTGGCTAATGCTTGTCTTCCTGCTAATTGTGTCCTAAGATTTTAAAAGTTGTCTAATCCATCCTTGCATTTACAATGTTATATATTTTTAGGAACGGTCAGAACCAATAGACTGACAGCTGCGGCCACTGATCAAGAAATTGAAACATTTATTAAAAAATGGCTTCATCTGTCAAGTGACCGAGACGGAGGGAGAAGAGAAAGGGAGAAACGGAGGAGGTCCCAAGACACCTGTAAGTCAGTTGTGTTTTTGCTATATGTGTATAATACCATGGTCTGTCTGAATACTTGATTATGGCCCTAGAAAATCTGTTTTATTTTTTCCCAAATTCCGTTTTTTCCTTTTTCATTTTTGCTAATTCCGTTTTTTCCATTTCCATGTTTGGGAATTCAGTTTTTTTTTTTACCCTTACTGTTATTTTAGTCGTAAAAAGAGTGTGCTTGTAATGCTAATGATTAAAATGTACACAAATAAAATAGGAATGACCTTACATTTATTGAGGTAACAGACATTTACTCTTACTTTTCTGCACAAATACTGCATGATGCAACATAACACTGCACTCTAAGTTCTTCAAGTAACAATAAAATATGGTTATGAGCTTTAAAATGTCCAGTAAAATAAATTATATTAGTTTATGCCAGGTAAGCAGCCGAAAATGAATAGTTGAATAAAGTCGTTATTTTTGTTTGTTTTTTTGCGCACGAAAAGTATTCTCGTCGCTTGATAAACTTAAGATTGAGCCACTGTAGTCACTCAGACTATTTTAACAATGTTTTTAATACGTTTTCTGGGCTGGCAAGTTTCAATCCCTTAGAAGCCTATGGAGGAGTGATCCAGCTCTCAGATTTAATCAAAAATATCTTAATTTTTGTTCCGAAGATGAACGAAAGTCTTACGGGGTTGGAACAACATGAGGGAGAGTAATTACTGACAGAATTTTCATTTTTGGGTGAACTATCCCTTTAACTACTTTAGTTGACATGAGGCATGAACAATTCTTTTACAGCATTTATAAATCTTAGTTAATGTTCTCCCAAATGCATTATTTAAATCAAAAGTTGTGAACTAACATGAACAAACAGTGAATGACTGAAAAATTAAAAAAGCTTAATAAATAATGCAGTTCATGTTAGTTAATACTAGTTAATACATTAATTAATGTTAACAATTAAGGCCTTTAGGCCTCATTATACTTCTGCGTCGGACCTACGCCGGAGCTTCTACGCTGTAGGCAACGCGTTGGTTTTCATTTATACTTTTGCGTCGTTGTCCGCGTTGACGCGCTATTACACTTGTAGAGGGAGCATGTGAAACCCTAGGGAGCGGTCCTGGCAGACAAATCACAGCGCTTGCGTCCACATAGAGTTGACGTGTTGTTACATTTTTGGAGAGGTGCACGTCAGGGTACGCTGAAGGGTACGCGCGCTACACACAGCCTACGACGCAGCTACGGCGTGAGTTCGACGCAGAAGTATAAATAGGCCTTTAGAGTTACCAAACTGTTTAATGCACTGGTAGGTCCAGTCCATTTTTTCCCCATTCAGTATTAATGTGCTATTGCTAGTAAAACACTATTGTAAAATCAGCATTCTGTTACTGAGTCAACAGTTTTTGTTTTTTTGTGTATCCAATAAAGGCTTGCAAGATTGCCATGATGACGCAGATGGGCCCAGTCAAGGAGGTCAAATTCTTTAATTTTGGATGGCTCCATTTGTCAGTGTTTTAAAAGTGTGTTTACTTCTGCGTTGTCTTTTTTTTGGGATGACCAACTGGAAACATATTTTGTTTTTTGTTTAGTTTTAAGATATTTTATATGCACATATTTTGTGTTTGTTTATTATTACTATTTTTTTTTAGATTGCTTTCCAGTTTTGAAAATTGAAACTTGCACTTGGTTGTTCTTTGAAAATATTAATAAATAATGCAAATGTTTTCAGAAATGTGTTTAAATCATCTGTTGTAACTTTTTTTAACATAGAAAGGGGGCATTTTTAAATTTCTCTTTAGTGTATATTTCTCTTAGTGTCAGGCACAGCATGCACACACAAAAACACACAGTTATGGTTTATTTATGTAATTCTTGACACACATGTGGCTGAACAAATGGCCTGCTTGTGGACCAGATCTGGCAAACCGGAGTGAATTGCAAAAGTGCCACCATTCCATTCTGCATGAGGAATGTTGGGAAAGACCAGGGTTTGTATAAAAATCAACTGTGGCCAGGTGTGGTTTATTTGGTTTGTGTTTGGGTTACATGTGGCATTGCTATGGCTTAATTGTGGCCCAAATCTGGCAAACAGGAGGGGACTGCCTTAAGTGCCATAATTTGCATCTGGCCCACATACCGCGTGAAATGATGGCACTTGAACGGTCCGTTCCTGTTTGCCAGATTTGGACCACAATTAGCCCAAAGCAATGCCGCATGTCAGCCATAAACAAAACAAATGAAGCAGAACTGGCCCACATCTGGCCCAGACACCAAAATTGCTGTGGCCCACACTTGACACTTTCATCTGGCCCACATACCGCATGGAATGATGGCACTTGGGCGGTCTGCTCCTGTTTGCCAGATTTGGGCCACAATTAAGCCATAGCAATGCCGCATGTCAGCCGTAAACAAAACAAATGAAGCAGAACTGGCCCACATCTGGCCCAGACACCAAAATTGCTGTGGCCCAGATCTGGCCCACACTTGACACTTTCATCTGGCCCACATACCGCGTGGAATGATGGCACTTGGGCGGTCCGCTCCTGTTTGCCAGATTTGGGCCACAATTAAGCCATAGCAATGCCGCATGTCAGCCGTAAACAAAACAAATGAAGCAGAACTGGCCCACATCTGGCCCAGACACCAAAATTGCTGTGGCCCAGATCTGGCCCACACTTGACACTTTCATCTGGCCCACATACCACGTGGAATGATGGCACTTGGGCGGTCCGCTCCTGTTTGCCAGATTTGGGCCACAATTAAGCCATAGTAATGCCGCATGTCAGCCGTAAACAAAACAAATGAAGCAGAACTGGCCCACATCTGGCCCAGACACCAAAATTGCTGTGGCCCAGATCTGGCCCACACTTGACACTTTCATCTGGCCCACATACCGCGTGGAATGATGGCACTTGGGCGGTCCGCTCCTGTTTGCCAGATTTGGGCCACAATTAAGCCATAGCAATGCCGCATGTCAGCCGTAAACAAAACAAATGAAGCAGAACTGGCCCACATCTGGCCCAGACACCAAAATTGCTGTGGCCCAATTCCGGCCCACACTTGACACTTTCATCTGGCCCACATACCGCGTGGAATGATGGCACTTGGGCGGTCCGCTCCTGTTTGCCAGATTTGGGCCACAATTAAGCCATAGTAATGCCGCATGTCAGCCGTAAACAAAACAAATGAAGCAGAACTGGCCCACATCTGGCCCAGACACCAAAATTGCTGTGGCCCAGATCCGGCCAACAGTTGACACTTTCATCTGGCCCACATACCCTTTGAACTTTAAACTGTGGGCTAGATGTGGGCCAGTTCTGCTTCATTTGTTTTGTTTATGGCTGACATGCGGCATTGCTATGGCTTAATTGTGGCCCAAATCTGGCAAACAGGAGCGGACCGCCCAAGTGCCATCATTCCACGCGGTATGTGGGCCAGATGAAAGTGTCAAGTGTGGGCCGGAATTGGGCCACAGCAATTTTGGTGTCTGGGCCAGATGTGGGCCAGTTCTGCTTCATTTGTTTTGTTTACGGCTGACATGCGGCATTGCTATGGCTTAATTGTGGCCCAAATCTGGCAAACAGGAGCGGACCGCCCAAGTGCCATCATTCCACGCGGTATGTGGGCCAGATGAAAGTGTCAACTGTGGGCCGGATCTGGGCCACAACAATTTTGCTATCTGGGCTGTCATAATCAGAAAATTGTTTTGTCTTACTGGTTTCAAAATGTTTTGTTTCAAAGCTCCTTCTTTCTGGACTGTGAGTTCGCCTCTGTCTTTTTGAAGAATGAAGTCCTTTAGGGTTTCCTGCAGAGACACTGATCATTTACTAGTGTGTTTAGTCAAAGAGTATAGAAGTACCTACTAGTTACTTCTATACTCTTTGGTTTAGTTCACTAATGAAACTTTACAGGCACACTCTTTAACTTAACCCTTATTAAATGCGTCAAAACAACACACCTCTTTTAAAGTCACGTCTTCATACCAGTTTCCCACACGAACGCGCGGATTATAGGTCCGGACATGAGCCATGTCACAGTCGTTGTAATTGTAAAGCCTGACAGACTGATAAGTGTGTAATATAATGTAAAATGCAAACGTAAACTAAATGCCCCTACTACAGATAAGAGCTGTTTCCATGGATGCGTAACAACACATGTGCGCTACTGCGCATGCGCAGGTTACGTCTCCATGGTAACACTTTCGTCCTTTTCTTAATTGATCTTGAAGTTTTGTGGTAAAAATACAGAAAAAAAAAACAGCCCAATATTGTGAAATGTTATTACAATTTAAAATAACGCTTTTCTAGTTTAATATACTTTAAAATATTATTTATTCCTGTGATGCAAAGCTGAATTTTCAGCATCATTACTCCAGTCTTCAGTGTCACATGATCCATCAGAAATCAGTCTAATATGCTGATTTATTATCAATTTTGAAAACAGTTGTGCTGCTTAATATTATTTTTTGGAACCTGCATGTGATACTTTTTTTAGGATTCTTTGATGAATAAAAACTTAAAAAAGAACAGCATTTATTTAAAAAAATAAATATTTTGTAATAATAGGCTATACACTACCGTTCAAAGGATTGTTGACAGTAATTTTTCTTTTCTTTCTTTTTTTAAAATAAATTAATTATTTTATTCCGCAAGAATGTGTTAAATTGATAAAAAGGTGATAGTAAAGATTTATATTGTTAGACAAGGTTTCTATTTTAAATAAATGCTGGTATATTTTTTAGCTTTTTATTCATCAATGAATCCTGAAAAAAGTATTACAGATTCCAAAAAAATATTAAACAGCACTTTTGTTTCCAACATTGATAATAACTGAGTATCAAATCAGCATATTAGAATGATTTCTGAAGGATCGTGACATTGAAGACTGGAGTAATGATGCTGAAAATAATAATACATAGGCCTAAATAAAGTATATTAAAATAGAAAACCATTATTTTAAATTGTAATATTTCTTCTTTCAAAAACATTAAAAATAGATGTCAAATTGTTTTATGTTGACATCATTACCTTTTCAGTGGTGTAAAGTATTTGAGTAAATGTAGCCTAACTAGTTACTGCACTTAAGTATCTTTTTTGACTACATTGTAGTTTTACTGAGTACCAAAGATAGCATCTTTTACCCATATTTGAAGAAGTATATGTACTCTTTACTCAGATACATTTGAGACAAGTAATGCACTCTTCTGAAAACTAACTTTTTCTGAAGCAGTTTATTTCTGCTACAAAAGAAGCGATATATAGAAGTGCCAAACTGGTCAACACTTTATTAGCAGGTAGTTGTGAATAGCAGTTGTTTTATATATGTCTTCTCCCTACAGTTTTGTCACGCTCTCTGTAAAACGAAACAATTTCTCATTTTAAGCATATTATCTTTTATTTTAGGGTGTCCCACTTTAGCCGAATGCTACGGTTCCATTTTATCTAATGTTGTTAAGGTAAATTGGGACAGTAATAAAACTTGATACTTTTTAAAGTATAAAAAAGGCACTTGCACATTATTGCTGCATAGATGCAACACATTTTACATCACTATTTATTCAAGATGCAATACTGGTATATACTGCAGCAAAACATCTACTAATTGGGCTTGTAATTTACAAATTATAATTTATCAAGCCTTCTAATTATTGTTTTTTACTTTAATTAATTGGAAACAGTATAGTTAAAATGTAAACATGTACTGCATTGATTCAATCACTGATGCTTATAACATATATGATAGTATTTGTTCCCAATGTATATGACACTCAGGTGCATGTCTTTAATAAGAAAAAAAAACTTTTCTTATTTTTTTATTTTATATTAAAAAGGCTGAATTATAGAAATTCCTTGATTAAATTAACACAAACAAACTCAAACATACACAAGTTAGCAGAAATGCAATTATTAGAAATGGTCTCACAATCCTGATTCAATACGACTCTCTAATGTTTTATATCTTCTTCATAATTATATCTTTTATATGAAATTGCATTTTATTGGATTTTCTAAATAAATTAGGTCACTTTTCAAAGGCATCAATATGTATGCTATATAATGTATCTTGCAGCATTGTCAGATATCCAAATCACTTTTACAATGTATACTGTATGCAGAGAGAAAAAGGCAGTGGAGATTTTAGATAAACTACATTAGAAGGAAGGCTCATTTGAGCTATGTGTGTAAGTGCGGTTAAGTGCTTTTACGTCAATAACGGAATTGACAGATCATAAATAGATAATTCACGTTTATGAGAGCTGTGCTCTGAAATATTAAAACTCCAATGTGAAAAGCAGCAAACAGCAGTGTAGCAATGTGCAAAAGTTGCTGATATTATTGCAGAACAAATCATTTCAATCAAATATTACCCCTGTCATGATCCACCTGCTTTCTATGCACCTGTAAGCTTGTTTAACTGCTGGAAGAAACAACACGCAAGACATGGTCCCGTTGAATAATCAAAACCAGCTTTATGAAGACAAAATGAGAGACAAAGGTATATATATTCAGTCAAAGGTGCCCTGAAAAATAAGGACTCCCTATCAAGAGATGTAAAGGTGTTCATACAATCATAGAATGAAAAACAATTGCTATAAATGTAACAAAAAAATGATTCTGAAGATAAACCAATAGGCTATTTCTAAAGAACAAGAGGAAGACAAAAAAACATCAGCCAAAATCATGAAGTCAAAACTTTTCCAACATTGCCTCCTTAAAATAGGACATCTCATTCAATTGTCTTCATATTGCAGTATTCAGATAGTTATGTGCTGTATAGAAAGCATTGCTAAGACTTGCTATGTGGTTGTTGTTGTGCATGGTCGCAAAAGCGTTGCTAAGGTGTTCTGGGTGGTTGCTAGGTGGTTGTTTCCTGGCATGTGATATACTCGCCCCTTTATGGCATAGATCAATCCTTCATCGTAAATCCAATCATTTAGAGAAGTAATAGCACGATTTGAGGTATTCTGTAGTCCGTACAAGTGGTGCCAGATGAATTACAGTATCTTAGATCAAACTGCAAGTTGGCTGAAGTTAAAATATGATTCATTCCTATTGGAAACTCTTTTACCTGAGCAAATCAGAGGCTTTTCTCATTAATCAGCTGCAGCAGACAGAAGTATAGGGCTCCTTCTGGCTCAATAAAAGAGGACAAACACTTTCTCTTGGTCTCTCCCCTCCCGCACTAACTCACTCAGTCCCATCACAGCCCATTAAAAGTTTAGTGCTGTTGTTCAGCAAATTGAAAATGTGTGCTGGTATCGATCCAGCATCATGCATCCATTCTGGATCTCTGGAGGCTCATTTTCCTTGTCTTTTAAGCTTTTGTGAGGGAGGGTATTACATTTTGTTGCACTATTTTGGTTGTGATCGAGTTCACCACAAAATCAGGTCATATACAAAATGCATCAAACAAAACCAGAGATAAGACGTATCACTCATACATCAGCATTTCCGACACATATGGGGACATTTAGCAGATTTAAATAGCAGTTGCATGTGAATTTGCCGCTATGAATGGATTTTTCTAGCATTTAAATGGAGAGAGAAAGCAGAGGTGTGGTTGTAGAGAATCGTGTGCTGCTGTGGAGAAAGCGGATGCCCGTTTCAGGTTTCAGCAGAATCACATTAGACTAACAGGAACTCCCCAATATCCGTCAACAAAGAGGGTATACCGGAATGTCCTGAATCCATAAACTGCTGAATGAGCATTTAATGGAGAATGTGCTTCAATTCAAAAACAAACCTAAAGGTAGGGAAACTCCAAAAAGGCCAATGGAAAGTTTTTTAGAATGAAGCCTATTTTGCATAGGTTTTACAATCTGCCATGCTTGTTGAATTGGCTTCATGAAGAAATCATGCTTTCATTCAAACCTTTATACTATTATCTAATAAACACGTATTGTACCATTCAGAGTAGCTTTAGGCATGTCATGTGACTGCATGTACATTACACGGTGCTGATTGGAATGACGACGATGAGGATGAGGATAATGGTGGCAGTGATGCTGAGGGCAGCGATGCGGTACGCCTGGTTTCTGTTGCAACGGGTGTACGAATACGAACGTCGCAGGAGCGTGTCGGAGGCTGGCGTATTAATCTCGTCCGTCCAGAACTCCAAAGACTCGGGGGGCTGCAAAATATAATCAGAAAATATCAGAGTTTATACATGCTGGTTTATCTGCACAACAAGTGCTGTTTTCTTTCATATTCTGTTGAGCCCAATGATGTATATTTAAAACAATTAAAGTCATTTTGAAAATGCCCCATTATTAAACCCAGATTTTTTAAACATGTTCCACAAACCTCTTCAAAACCTAGGAAGATATTACCTACTTGTTACTCAAATTATATATGCACTTTGGAAAAATGGACTACCATTCAATATGGACATTTTATTTTACTTTGTGTCAATTTGACTCCAGCAAAAATACAGTAGAAAAATACAGATTTATAAGGTGACAGTTTTGACTCAAAACATTACATTTGGAGATGTTACCTGAAGGTCCAGAGGCGTTAAGTCAGATTGGCTCCAGGTCATTTTGGGGCGGTCAAGCAGATGCTGGGAAGTGCTCTGGACTGATGTGCGGCGTGGTGCATTCTGGGTCTCAGGTGGCACGAGGTGAAAACCCGTCACTTCCTGCACTACGGGGACCTCTCTTTTATACACTCCACCTAAATGATCTGACTGAGGAGCCAAACAAACCAACGATTCACCCTTACATCTTCACCCATACAGTATATGTAGCATTCTTCTCTAAATTAATACAATTTTATTATTTTCTGCATGACAATTTGGTGTAAAGCTTAATTCAAAAATGTACATGAATTTAAAAAATTGCTTTAATGACAGCAGCACTCCCGCTCCATGAACTCCACAAGTCTGTGTAAAACCTGATGATCATGTTCTCGAGCTTGATTTGATCGAATCTGATCAAACCTGTTTCCCTCCACAAATACCCATGGTAACACTTTAATTGTAATGTGTCCTTGTTACACGTTACATGTATTTACTATAGTAATAACTATAAATTAGGCATAATTGCATGCAACTAACCCTAAACCAAACCTTAATACTACCCTAATCCTAGAGTAAGTACATGTAGTTAAATAATATTACTCAGTACTTAAAAGTATAATTACACTGTAACAGGGACACATTAAAATAAAGTGTAACGTTTCCCATTGGCTTTTGGATTATTGCAGAAATTAAACTGTGACCAGCAAAAGTGTATTATTCTTACAAGTTTTGTTCATCAAGATAATCTTTTCAAGCTAAAGCTATGAACATGACTTCAACTTCACCACCAGTCTACAAGTTGGAAAGTTTTAGTTGGAAAACAACAAGGCTGTAAATACGTATTAGAGAGCAGATGAGTTGTCCTGTTTGTTGTCATGGCATTAAATGTGACAACTTCAGCAAATCAAAAGTGGGCTATTACTTATCTATATTATGTTGTAGGAAAAAAATATCTTGAGCTTGTGTTAACCACAGACATTATTTCAGGCAGTTAACAAAAAAACCCATTTAAAAGACCCATTGACTTTGGAACGATTGAACCGGAAATGCAAAAAAACTTTGTTCTGTTTTTAGGACTCTTTCCTGCAGGATAAACAAAAACTGACTTTTTTCTTACTTTTTCCTTACTTTGTCAGTCACATTTAAAAAAAAAAAAAATTAAATAGAAAAAGTGCTTAATCTTTAAAGGTTCTTTAAGTGATTTCCACCATATGCACAAAATGAATGACAAGCAGAGAACATTTCTGATTGGCTAGTATTCCGATTGGATACAAAACTTTCTGATTGGCAACTGACTCTTATTTTGTTGTTTACAGAGGCCTAATTGATCATAGCATACTAGAATACTACTCTTAATATTTTTCCTTATATTTTACATATCTTTATGGCAAAAGTAGTAAAAGTAGTATGCTAACATGCTATTCTGAATTCAGTCTAGTTCTGTCACAAGGACAGGTAGGTTTTCTCACACATACTTCAGTGATTTAAGAAAATGTTATGTGCAAGAAATGTCTCTTACAGACCATTTAAAATATGTGTTTCCTTGATAATTTTCTTTGTTGTAAAATTCTAAAACATTATAAAAACTATACCAGACATTTGGACCCCACTTTACATAGATATTTCTTGTCCTGTTACCTTAGCAGGCTGTACGTGTGGCTCCTTGCTGAAGCTGATGCTCCACTCTCTGTGGGCTTCAGACCCGCTGCTCTCCGTGTGGCTCCTGGAGGCCCTGCGTATAAACAGACGTCTGCGCTTTGCCGCTGCCTCATTGACGCCCTCCATTCCTGGATTGGTCCTCGGGGACCCCTGCTGTTGCTGTATGTTAGGCCGTGCTGCGAGCTGTGGATGTATGATCATTTGATGCGAGTGAGGGCATGCGGCCTGCTCCCGTTGCTCCAGTCGGTCCAGTGTAGAGAGCACAAGGGCCAGTTGCTCACGTAGTTCTGAGATCGGCTCTAGCTGTTGCTCCAGCTCCGCGACCCGTTGGAGCAGGCGTCCCACACCCCATCTCACGCCCTCCTCAGGTGCCTCCAAGGAGTGAAATAACTTCCGTAACTTTCCCAAACGTTCACGCCTCTCTGGCAGCCCAGCCCCGCCCCCTTCCTGGGCCCCGCCTCCTTCCCCTGGCAACACTGCCATGGAGCCACACATGCTAATGTCATCTAGGAAACGGAAGATGGCACTAATGTCGTCCTCGCCGATGTCAGGGTTGTCAATGGAAAGTTTGTCGCCAAGCATGAGGCTTCGTAAAGCACGCCGATCTGCAGCTTCCGTCTGGGTGCCAACGCTAACCCCGCCATCAAAGCTCGGTGACCAATCGTACCACGCATCCAAACTCATGCCGCTCAGCCGCTTGAAGGTATCCCGCACCGAGTTGACGATGTGAGGATCAAAGCCGGGAAGGTCAAAGCTTGACCCGTCAAAGCTAATTTTAACTGGTTTTCGTAAACCAGACTTCTCTAAAACAGACCGCTCTGATCTGGGTTTCTGCAGCCCAGTCGTTTCAGGCTCAGGTCTTTCATCCGCCGTCCTGCTGTCGATGTCCAAGCTGTGGCTCTTGACTTGAAGGACCGGAGTTTGGTGCTTTTCGATGGAGACTGTAGGGCCGAAGTATGTGGACGCCTGGAGCTTATCCAAACTCTCCTGCTTCGCCTGATGCCACTGAATCTGAGGATCATACGGGTCTGTGGCGTCAGCATACGATTGCGCATTGCCAGCATGTGCATCTGGTTCAGGTGCATTTGAGTGAGCGTACAAATGGTCATGCAGACATTGCGTGTGTGATGGCGAGTTGCACACGTGGTGGTCGTTTGCGTATGTTGTGGGGTCTGGATAGGGGTTCTTCTGGGTAATGTAAAGCAGGTCCTCACCATCCGATCTTGGTCCGTCTGGGCTTTGATCTGATTGGGCGTCACCTTCCGTGGACATAAGTGTTTCGTTGTGGATCCCTTCTTTAAAGGCACTCCTCCTCTGAGAGCAGGAACGAGCGACGCAGGCTCCCTGATTGGTCGCCGAGGTCTTGACTGCCAGCTGATTGACCGTATCGCTGGAAACGTCCCCAGAATGCTCGTTCTGCATCCTGCCTTGGTTGTGCATGAGTGAGTGAGACTGAGCAATCAATGCGGAGGTGGTCCAAGCGTGTGAAACCTCTGTGTTATGACTGAATGCTTCACAAGGGAGGTTCTCATATTTACATTCCTCAGAGGTGGTCCCTCCTACTGTGACGGGTAAGGCGGCCGGCCAGTGGTAACGCACAAATCCCTTCCCACAGATCTGACAGGGCGTCAGCGACTGACGGTTCTGAGTGTATGAAGGAGCCATGCGGGTGTGCATGAGGAGGTTGAACAGTGAGACTACATCAGCGGCTGCTGAGAGCCGGCTACTGCAGGGCGGGTGTAGGCGCTCTCGGAAGAGGGTGGTGGGGAAGCAGGGGTCTCTACATGCGGTGGAGTATAAGAGACTCCGTAATTCTAGAAGCGGCTGCAGGCTGAAGCTTCCACTCAGATAGACGCAAATGTCTGGATACAGCACGCTCTCATGGCATGCGCCTAACACCTCCAGGATCTCCAACAATACCAGGGGGTCTTCAGGGTTTTCAGACATATTTGCACCAGATTTGAACTTTTAGCAGTGCACACTACATTTAGAAATTTAAGCCCACTGTCCTCTGCTTTCCCCCTTCATCAAAGGCACATGCAGCTCTGCAAAAGGGAGCACAGCAGTGAAATCAGGTCAGCCAGAAGAGGATTTCCACAAAAATGACTTTTGCATTGATTTCATATAAATCCTATGCAAGTTAAAACAATCAAAGAAAAGAAAATGCAATAAAAACAAGCAGTTACCTCTTGTCACTGGGATATGATGCTGAGAATAAAGCTATTAATTGCTGACCTTATTCAAAGCCTTAATATAGCCACTGATCGGAGCATCTGAAAAGCAGAGAAATCATTAGAGACGTCGTGAAATCGTCCATCTCCACTGATCAGGGTCCCACCTGAGAGACTCTTGTTGGTAAAGCAGCAGTCAATGGTCAGGCAGCGGTCAGTCCCACGATCAGTGCAGAAAAGCAGGTCGCCTGGGGTCTCCAGAGATGCCATGAATCCCGGGTCTCATCCCTTAATGAGCTGATCAGAACGTCCTGTACACGAGAAACACCATAGATAGTTTCTGCTTCATGTGTGACAGGAGCATTGAATCCTCTAGTTGGTGTGTTTGCACACGGAGATTCTGTGGTCAAAGTCATGCATGACGTTAGTGGCTATTTTAATGCACAACAATAAACATACTAAAAGAGAAATGCATTGTAAAGTACAGAAATCTCTAGAATAGAACTTAAATTGTAACATTTACTATAAAATATTTCCTTTAACAATACAATCTAATAAAATAGATGTAAAAATATATATCAAATACATTGATTTATGAAAGAAACTTTTTGTCAATAAAAATAAATTAACAAACAAATAAATAAAATATCAACGTTACTATGAAATGTATACATATATTAATTTATGCATTTCTCTGTACTTTATTTTTTACTCATTGGTTGATTGTTAATAAAAAAAGTCGGCTAAATAAAAGACACTTAAATAGTTGTAATAGAAATGTATTGGAGTTGCATTTCCTTTGGAGTTCTCCTCTGCACTTTGCTCTGTGATATGTCTATCTGTATAAAATATATTTTTTTATTAAATGAGAAAAATACATCAATGATTTACATATTAAATTATTAAATAAAATGTAATACTACTAATCAAATGTAATTTTCTAAATATATTGAACAAAAAATCTTTTTTATTACGTACTAAAGAGCCTAAATAAATAAAAAATCAATTTAAAAATCATTGAGATAAGGTTTAGATTTACAAGCTTTTGAGCATGTGAAATTTCTTGATTTTTTAAAGAAAATGAAAGCCCACCTGTGCCATCTGATGATTTGTCCTGAAGCACAGACTGTCCCAATTCACGTGCAAACACCAGTGGAGTCAACTGAAGCGGTTGATGAGATCTTTACAGACTGTAACACACTTCCTCTCTCTCTCTCTCTCTCTGTTTAAGTATAGCCTATAGATTCATTAAAGTGATCAAACCTTTTAAAAGTGTAATGGAGCTCCTTCACTTTAGACGACAGCGAGTCGGAACTTCTAAGACTTATCAAGTTCTATTTCTAATTGATGAGAATCTGAAATACATTAGGTTTAAGATCTCTTCAGCACACAATACACGTGTATTATAAAGTTTGTTGTTGAGTTATAAAGTTTGTTTGCTTGTTTATTTGTCTCTGGTTCAAAATTAATTATCATAAAGACCACCGGGGGGCAACAAAGTCCATTTTATAACAAATTGCATGTAAATATGAAAAACAAATCTTTAGAGAGAACACTGGTGATGACTAGGCCTACTATAGAAAGGCATCAATAGAACAGCTTGTAAAAACATGTCGCGTAGCATTAATACGTCATTTACCTCAGGAAAGTCATTCAGTGTCCACAGCTTGTTAGTCAGCTAGAGAAATGAAGTCTTTCGCTAAATATATCCACTGTATTAGCCTATACTACTATTTAATATATTTTCCTTAACCTGTTAGTGATGTCTTGATTATTTAATGTAGGTTTAAATAAATGTCATGAAAATGACAGCCGTATAAATGATATATTTCAACAACGAATTGGAGTAAAAAACATTTTAAAATTAGATTTAGAAGCTAATGCAAAAACTGCCTTATGTGCAGCTTACATGTTTGCATACAATTTGTTATTTGAGTGTTGATTACATTTAAAAATAAATAGCAATTGAATTGAGGCTAATAGTTTGGGCTCTGTTGTTAACCTTTAATATTATAGTAGGCTAATGTGCGATAAGGACTCCCTACATAGTTTATAGATAATGTTTTATAGGCTACTTAAGAAACTTTGTTACAATCGAATTTATTTGACAGAGACACAATTTGTTCAGTAAACCACTGTTTGATCAAAAAAAGAAGCAATTTTATGTTTAGTTTTCAACCCCATACTATACCGAATCCGTACCGAACTGTGATTTTAAAACCGAGGTACGTACTGTCAGTTTTGTGTACCGTTACACCCCTAATATATATACTGTATGTTATACATATATATATACACACACACACATTATGTATATATATATATATATATATATATATATATATATATATATATATATATATATATATATATATATATATATATATATATATATATATATATATATACACACACACACACACGCACACACATACGCACACTGTAGGCTGCACTGTATCCTGTTTCTCTGAGGAGGGAGAGCTTTTTTGTATTATTTTTATGAGTTTGTTTTTTCTATCAAGTTTTTAACTCCATGTTATCATCAGATCTATTTGCATGGCAGGTCAATATCACAATCCATAACATTTAAATTATGATAATATAAAACATTTCAACTTGACATTACATAGGAAATCTAAAATACATTTGGGTGATACATCCTGAAATATTCCATGTAAACATGTTTCTGATTAAAATCATTGCCTAGCAGTATCATAAAAATTACAGTCCAACAGAATGTTTAACAGTCAAAAGAACCTGACACGAGAGACATAAAAGGAGGCTAAAACTCACATTTTTATGAGATTCTGATCAAATTAAAGGAAATGTTTTGGTGGGTGTGCCTCTGCATGCTTTAATATGATTTCAAACTCTGATCTCTTTGTTGGCTTGATCTGTTTGGGTTTGTTGGTGAGTCATAGTGTCACATAGAAGCAGATAAACATTTTTTCACAGTGTGTCAAGTTTTGTGCTTGAGAAACAGATCACATGCGATCAAAGGCAAGAGATAGAGGTACTAGTTCATAATTATACAACCACTTTAAGGGTGGTTTTGGCAAATTTCAGCCTAATTGTAAAAGTAAGGCAAACAGGAAGGGGGGGCGGAAAGAAAAATGTATACAAACAAGATTAAGGAAACAGAGGTTTTAGCACGGTCACATAATGGAGTGAACATGAGTCAACGCTGTGATTATGGGAAACTGGATGAAGTTTTGGCTATCCCCTTCACAAGGACTCTTGTCAGACTGTTGAGTGAAACACTGATCGCTGTCAAAACAGATCCATACAAAGAAACTTCATCCTGGATACGCAAGAGAAAAAAGAAAACTCCCACAACAAAATTCATGATTAATTTGGCTTTTATTTGAGCCATATGCACCGATGTGGGTAAATCAATCGACCCTATTCACAAATCAAAAACATAACATTAGAAAAATTCAGAACAACTCATAACAAGCATTACTGCAAGTACAATAAAGCAAACAATGGTTAATCTTTAAAATCTATTATGAACGATAAAAAAATATATAAAAAGTCAGACTTAATAAAGGCCTTTTCAAATGGGCTTGGAATGCTAAACCAACCCTTTCTTCTCATTACTCGTGACACAACCAGTGATACAGCTGCACTAAGAAAAAGAGTGAATTCCAGTCAATCAGAGACATGTACAGATTGTGTGTCTGACGCTGTGATCTAACTGGCTCTTAGCTGATGAGGTCATGTTCAAGACAGTGCTTTGTGACAGACATCATGCAACACAAATACACTGGCAGTTTCCCAGGCAACGAGACCCCTCACACAATCTCCCGGGTTTTCCGGATGGCACAGCACAACATCATGCTAAAGATCATGCCGAAGATCTGTGCACATAGAGAAAACATTCCTTCAATGGGACATCAATCGCATACATAAATGTGTACGTTACAGTGTTTTCAAAAAGCATTATGATCAAATTACAATCATGGTACTAAGAAATATATACTTTTTTTCTATTTAAATCTGCAGTGTGTAATTTTAGTGTAATTGTAAATTTGCATTACCAAAAAGAAATGCCAAAACACACTACTATTCAGAAGTTTGGGGTCAGCAAGTCTTTTCAGCTCACCAAGGCAGCATTTATTTAAAAAATAGATTAAAAAAAAAAATACAGCAAAAACAGTAATTGTTAAATATTACAATAAAAGAATTTTTTTTTACTTAAAATGTTTTAAAAATTTAATTTATTTCTGTGATGTTAAAGCTAAATTTATCATTCTTACTTTGATTTCTGAAGGATCATGTGACACTGAAGACGTTCTAATATGCTGATTTGCTGCTCAAGTAACATTTCAGATTATTATCAATGTTGAAATCAGTTAATATTTCAGTGGAAACGGTGTTACTTTTTTGTCTTTGATGAATAGTGCGTTCAAAAGAACAGCATTTTTAAAAATGTAAATCTTCTGTAACATTATAAATGTCTCTTTTGATCAATTTAATGCATCCTTGCTAAATAAATGTATTCATTTTTTTAAAACAAAATCGTACGGACCCCAAACTTTTGAACATAAGTCTGTATATATAAACAAAATAATGTATTATTTATTTGACATAATATTAAATTAAGCTGGTAAAGATATACACCTTAGTTATTCTAAAAGACAAAATGCTGAACAAGCCTTAAACAAACAAACGCACAGACACACACACACAAAGTTACCACGATCACTCCAATGCCGATTCCAACTCCTCCAATAATATGAAGTTTGGAGTTGAAAACTTCATCAATGGCATCAGGACAGCTCTGAACACATAAAATAAGGAAATTGATTTATCATTTATGGTTTATCAATGTTGTTATGTACTTTGAATATTCAAATATCTATCATCTATCCATCCATCTATTTACAGTTGATAGTTAAACTGATTCCTGTGCTCCTCTGTATCTCAGCTCAGTGTCTTTATTTGGTAGGAAGCATATTCTTATGTCTGATACACTTCGTTCATTAGGTTTACTTGAACCTCTTAAACCCTTCTCGATTTTCTGAACGGTTACTACGCTGTGATGACCTCTTACTTGACCTTGTACTGGCAGAGTAAACCGCGTTTCACTGACTCATTCAAGCTGAGTCGCACACAGGGTGCCTCGGGTTAGAAACATTTCCAGTGCATTAAATCTGAGCTAAGCTGGAGTATTACACTCCACAATCACACCTGCTGCCTTAGAAGAATCTAGTCCAGTGCGGTCAATTGTAAATCAGTGCTGATAAATCACTGACTGATACTTCATGGAAGTATTTCTGCTCACGAAAATTATTATACTGTAAGTGTAGATGGGTCTACCAAAGACATAGTCATGAAACAATCAATTGTAAATTCAATCCCAATTTTAAGGGGTTATGATTATGAAGGCATCACCACACAGCAATGAAAGGGTTCAAATCTAAACC